GTTGAGGTGGGGGTGGGGGTGGAGGGTGATGGTAGATGCTACTTTGGGTTTGTCATTTTGATCAAACTTTCAGTTTACCTAACAAAATATCACTAGAAGCTCTACAAGGCCGACACCAAGCCATTTCCCAATAGAAGGTGCTTTAACAATCTTAGTGATGGGGGTAAAATTTTGCCGACATTTTGGGTGTTTGCTTGTTCGAAATGCCAAATGTGGTGGCAGACAGTGCACGTATGATTCATGGATTAACCCATTGCGTTTAAAAGTATGATGCAGAAGTCTATATTGATTTTGTACCTTAAACATCTTCAACATTATCTATAAGGAAAGAGCATTGAGTCATCATAAGAATATCCAGAAGTAACATTAGACATTTCTGAGATGGGCAATTATGTTAAGCTCGCCATAGTGATTGTAACATTTTGTGTAAGTTGAGGCGTATCAGGAGTGAGAAGGAACAAAGACTTCGATATTTGTTAATTAAAAAAAATGGAAGTGTATTATTCGCAATACATTTTAAACAGAAATGAATGTCAATTAAGTCTACCCCAATGGGTAATGGCAGCGCATCCGTCTGTCACACTCCAGTCGACTTTGATAATACAACTGCTAATTCGGAGAACTCAATCTTTTCTTCCAATAGACATTATTAGATCATAACTTTCAAGGTAACCTTGAAATATTTATCGTTTTCTTCCGTCTAACTTTTCTTGCCGAACTGAAGTACCTCCGTGCTTTTATGTGAAATTTCTTTAATTTTATGCGGGATTTTTCCTTGTAACCCATTGTGGCAAAAATTCTAATTTAAACAAATATCATAAAATGCTTCTGAGAAGAATGGCGGCTGATTTGATATACCCACGTTTGGGCGATGAAAATTCAATTTCTGACTATCCGACATTCGATGGTCTTACACGTTGGAAAACTTGGCATAACACAGGCGTAAGTAATTATCCCATCCTCTCATAAATTGATTGATATGCATCGTTTTCGAAGATTTAGAGAGATGTTTTTTTTCTTTTTGGAAGAAGAGGGACCTTTGGGGAAAACCCGGGGAAGTTGTTGGCATTAACAGAAGGCGAATGTGCTTGCATGAGAAGTTGCCATTCTGTAAATTCATTAATAAGCGGACTTTAGTGGGTTTCTTGTGGATTCTAAATTCGTCATACAATTTTCTCACTAACAATTAGCCTGAGATAGTCCGCAGGAAGATCAGCTAAAAGAAATGAGTAGAAGTAGGGGAGGGGGGGGGGTATCTAAAGAGCGCTGTTTCTTTTGAATTCTAGTTTCATCAGGTCGGTTGCTTTTTATCCACAAGACTCCTGATCTTGGGGGAGATATCGTTCTGAGTAGTGCGGTGGTTTACGACTGCCTGTATTAACGGGACTGACTCAGCTGTTGGGCAAGCGATCCGGTTTTATTTTGTGTGTCTCCAAGGGATCATAAAAATTGTCGTTACTTTTGCCTACCTCTTCTTGCCTGGATAGAAATCAATCCAGGTGGCGTGATTAACAAATTCTGAGAATCATGATTTTGTAATCTCATCCAACAAACCTGGAAGTTAAGTAATTAAAGTTGAATATTAGGAAAATATGTAATGAATTGAATCGATTTTATGAATATGAAAAAATTCCAGTGCTCCCGAAATTACTCTAGATTCTGCAGCTATTATGCGTTTATGCATTGATGGCTGTATGGCTACAGTAACGGGAAAGTCGTTGTTGATAATTAGAAGAGAGTGGGCTAGTGGAATATCTGGTAAATCGGCAGAAAAAGAGATTTCAAAATTAGTATACATATATATAAATAAGACCTATGAGAATATGTGAGTTAACTGAAGAGGAGATATGTCAGAGTATGAATGGTTATGAAGGTTGCTCTCAACTGTGAATTGGTGGGGGTAATTAACATGCGATAAGGATCAGTCTTAAAAAGGTGTGACTGTGGATCTTCTGTTGGTGGTTTGGAAAACCAACTTTTAGCTAAGATACCTGACCTTCGTAAGAAACTGGAATTCGACGTGATCAGGAGTTAATGCGGTTGACTGCCCACATTACTATGTATACACCAACTGGCCTAATCGATGTACATAATAACCACTTCGCCATTGACAGACGCAATGTATGCTTAAATGGACTCACATTACGTATTATGGTTACCACCGTGTACATATGTAGTAAATTAATACTTAATGGTGTTATTCACAGCGAGCAACACTATCCTCTTCGCGTAGACATTTTCAAACCTCCTCTTCATAGTTGCACCGTTTCATAATAAGTTGGACTTTGTCCTTGTCCTCACACACACACATTTCTCTCATGCTCTTCATATTGGCGCCACGTGAGAAATTATATACACGTCTAAAAGGGCGGAGGTTTGTTGTTAGAATTTACCGTACACCAGAGTGTTTAGATAATTAGCATTTGCCTAGGCTCATCAACGGGCGCATTCGTGATACGAAAGCAAAAAAAATGTGTATGAGAAGTATATGTGGGCTTTTTTTTGCATAAATTGCGCTGATCTGACGAAAGTTTGACTTGGTTCCAAATAGTACACTTCTCTGTTGGAGTGCTTCTTCAACTCCATTATATTCATGGCCACTTTGTCATTTCTTGCATTCTTATTTCCACTGCCAAATAAAAAGCCGGGAGGGGGGGGGGGGTGTTGAAAGACTACTTAACTTGACATTTTTATATCCATTGCCGCTCTCTCTTTGCGTGCTCTTTTCTGCTAAATGGGCTATTCAGGGCATAAAAATAGGTGATAATGTCGCGACAAAGCAACAAATCGGCAACAATGCGCTTCATGCGGTGAGATCAATTTAGGGCGTAAAACTATTGAGGTCGTTAATTGGCATCTACGGTTACTTATATTAAGCTTTCTGTATAACTTCTTTGGGCTCAGTTCATAATAGAGTTGGTCAGCGGTCGGTTTCTATCCCATCGAATGGTTTCAGTCTCTAATTCATGGCTTTACATTATTGTGGCTGTGTTTCCTCCACTTTACCTAAGATTGTTGTTCCTCATTTACAAATTTAGTGTTATTAGGTGGTAGGACCTTAAACTGGGTTACCGAATGCAATAATGTGCTTTATATCATTTTAGCGTCATGCGTGGACCATTTTTTTGATAAACATCGAACTTTCAACTAACAGATCAGTACTAACACCAATCAAACTTTGTAGATATGCTTTAAAAGATGTCAAATTCAAGCATATGAAATCCCATTAATGGTAATGAAAACTTTCCCATCTCTTTTTGTTTACTTGCCATCAAGGGAGTCATTAAGTTGAAATCGAAAGGAGAAACTTTGGCAGACGCTCCATCAGTGGTTGTTATGGCAACCGGCAAGTTTGCATCAATTAACCCTCGTTCACATAATCAGTGTTCCGGTGTTTTATAATGTACAGACTATTATTTCCCACACTGTATAAATTTTTTACCTGAAAGAAAACGTATTTTGGCCTCTAGATAGCGGAAGATTAATTTCCTTTTTGTTTCATAAATCACAAATGATTTACGGAAGTAATAAACCTGATCGTTCTAATCGTCTTACCTATATGTCTTTCTTCCTAATTGAAATGGATTATGATT